TTGTTTTTTCAAACATGGATTGATTTCTATGCACCGTCCCGTGCTATTGATGGTGCGACCACAAATTTTATGCTCAGAGCTTCGCCATTATCTGCGGACTACAAAGACCAATACGATAACCCGATAAAAAGTTTCCTGATATATCAATATTTCTTCCCCTTGTTCATTTCGTTGTAATCATCTTCCTCTCAACATTGTCACCACATGCTTGCAGCCGTACCATTGCCTTGTGTCGCGGCTTTGCGAAGCGAGCGCTCCTGGAGGTAAGTAGGCCGGGAGCACTGGTTCGCGTTTTATTCGGCGACAATTACGCCCGTTTCTCACGCATTACCGCAACCTCTCCTTGCCTTGCCAGCCAAAAGGCTCTATAGCGGCTGCGCTTCATCTCGGGTCGAAGGGATTGACTTTGCATTTCAGCAAGTAAAAAAATCATCAGGTAAGTAAATGGCCTTGTATAGGTACTATATAAAAGAGATAAGGCCCGTACGCACGTACAACTCCGCTGGGGAGAGGAGCGGAGCTAAATCCCTAGGGGAACGATCCCCTTCACTGAACCCCGCTATGACAGAGGGGAGGGGAGCGATCTCCTCCCTCTGTCATAGCGCTGATTGCGCTAGTCGCTTATACCTCACGGCTACTACAATACCTCGTCAAAAAAGTTGTTTTTGGTCATTTCTTGTGCACCAGAATGGCTTTTACAACAATATACAAGAATACTAATTTCACGTGCTTTCGTCCCTTTCTCACACCACTTCTCCATTCATCCCTCCCATTACATCTCTCTCCTTCGCTCTTTTTTTCCATATTACTTGTTCTAAAGCTACGTGCTGTCAGAGTGATAATGGTGAATTTTGAAGTGGTGTGAGTCTATATAGCAGTCCATGACATGATTTTCTCCCCATCTTGTTATGGCTGCACTTCTCCTACAAAAGAATTCGTGAATGTGCAGCTTTTTGTAGTTTTGGTAGTTTTTATCCAAAGTTTACCAGTGCGATACTCTTTCGTTGCCTCAGATTCTGTACTTGACTTCAGAGGTATCGATTGAACGAACCCCGGTGGGAATCCCTTACCTTCCTCTACCCGTATGCACGAATTCAGCTCGACGACGCGGGGGAGGGGAACGACATCCTCTACAGTGGGGTAAGGCGATGTTGTAGGTCATGCCAGAGAGCGAATATTTGGTTTCAATCAGATATTACAAAGCCTTTCATTCCATTCGATAAGGATTTTCCTCAAAAGTTGGGTTCTTCTCTCGGCGACCTGCAGTTTGCAATCTTATCTCCCTCTTCTATATTCGCTTCTCGAACATAAACCTGAGCATATAATGAGGCAATTTCAAACATTTGTAGGACTTCTTGACATACACTTACATGATAATTTTAGCCATATAAGCCAACAAACACATCGTAACTTCTATATCTCATGACATGTTGCCTTTATCTTGTTATTTCAACATGAGCTGCCTTGGAAAATCTGAAAAGTAGCAGGTTTGCCTATTTCTGAGCAGAGATCCTCAGGAGAACGATCCCCTCCTTAGCGTTCCCCTCGTGCATAGCAGGGATGGTCGCTGGATCATCCCTGCTATGCACGAGGGGAATGGATATTGATACCATTTAACATTTGCGCTACAGCCAGACAGTTTGATCTGAAAGTTCAAGTGCGAAAGCCAACTCAACCGCTGTTCACACGTGAACCTTATGTACTGCGACTGCAATCGTATTGTATTGTACTGTAATCGCAGTACATAAGGTTCACGCATGCCGGTTGACGGTTGGCTTCCGTACTTGAACGTTCAGAACAAACTGTCTGGCTGTAGCGCAAATTTTGAATGGT